GCAAACCATTAGAAGTAAGTATATAAAACTTGAAATGTGTTTATAGAAAGCTGGACAAAACCCACAATCTAAGTCACAGAAGATAAAATACGAACAAATGGTCCGGCATACTCATACCAGTTTTTCAGTTAACAAGTTGACAAATTTACAGACAAAGCAGGAACACTAGGTACTGACAAATCACTTATGGGGACATAAATTAATTCCCTTTTTGGTTGTTCAATTTGGGAATATTTATTGAAGGCCTTAAAAATATGTGTAATCTGTGACCCAGGAATTTTATTTTATGATTTGATCATAAGGGAATAAGTAACTTTGTGTTTAAAATTTTAAGTATAGGAATATTTGTTGCACTGTTACTTGTTATATTGAAAAATTAATAATTATCCAAGTGTCTAACACTTAGGAATTAGTAAAATTTGGTGTGTTCATGAAATGGAATACCTTACATCCATTAGCTTATGTTGTGGAATATTATTTAACTTAAGTATAGGAATATTTGTTGCACTGTTACTTGTTATATTGAAAAATTAATAATTATCCAAATGTCTAACACTTAGGAATTAGTAAAATTTGGTGTGTTCATGAAATGGAATACCTTACATCCATTAGCTTATGTTGTGGAATATTATTTAATCGTAGGAATGTATGTTTATAACATTAAATGAAAAAGCAGGTTATAAAATGTTATAAATGGTATATCTCATTTTTGTAAAAATATATATACAAAGAAAAACATCTAGAAGGATACAGGTATACTTCAAAAAGTTCATGGAAAAATAGAATTGGAAGTTAATGCAAATCTTTTCATGAACTTTTGGAAGTACCCTCATACACTCCAAAATGTGAGTTGTTATTTCTAAATGTTAGAATTATAGGAGATTTTAATATTAATTTTACTTATCTATATTTTCTATAATTAACATGCACTGATTGTGTATAGAGGAGAAAGTTACTGCTAAGTCAAACAAATGTATTCTCTCTTTTTTTTTGTTTTGAGATTTTTAAAAAGTTAACATTAATGTGACTGTATAATATGTGTGTATAAAAATGTATTGTCTGTTAAAAAGATGTGATTCTTGATATTCTGCATAGAGTCCAGATTTTTCTATATAGTGCCTGCAGTCGTGTATAAGGATCTTCATGGTTTCTATTAGATATGTAAATGACATTTATATACAACAGAAAATAGTATAATTGGACCTCTCACAAAATTAAAGATGTTATTTAGAGTATTTCTTTTCCTTAGTGCAATGATAGATATTAAAAGTCAGAGACTAGCCTACATGAGCAATATAGGAGGAGGGAACGTGGAGTAATAGAAAAGCTTGTTCTTATGAAATCAGCCAGTCATGGGTTTGACCTTGAGCTTTGTGACCATGAGCATAATACCAAACCCCTTTGAGGTTTGTATCTGTAAACATTTGCAGTTGTTAAGCATTTGTAAATGTAAACATACTTCCAGTTCTTCTATGGAGTTGTGAAGATTATAGGGAATAATGTGTGTAATTTATATAGCACTTTGCCAATCAATAGATGGTAATGTGGGTGGTGATTTCATATATGGCTTGCTTTGTTTCGTATGTCCTTGGGAGATATGAGAAGAGGCATCTCTTCTCTTCCTTTGATAAGAAAGACCTGGTTATTTTTTTCAAGTTGCATTTATGTATATATATGTGTACTTATCACATAAATCATTGCTTTTGATCAGTGCCAAAGTATAAAGGTATAGTATATAACAGGCCTAATTTATCAAAGAAAAAAATTGCTTCTACTGTGAGAGAATATTTTCTTCCTTTGGCGGTGGGGTTTTTGTTTTGTTTTGTTTTATTTGTTTGGTAGGTTGATGATTTGAAAAAATGAGCACATTTCTAGAGCCCAAACCCATTTCCAGCCACATCTCTAAGGTAGTAGTCAAGGGTGTGGACTCCCTAATCATACTGTCTGGGCTGGCAGGTTAGCTCTGTTGGTTAGAGCACAGCCTTGGAATGGGCTAAAATACTTGCTCTGTCATTTTACTATCTGCACACTCACTCAGTCATGATTTTGACCTTCTAACTTTGAACAAGTTATTTGATTCTGTATCTTAGTTTTCTCATAGTTAAAATGGGGACAATAAAAATACATACCTTCTAAATATGTTCTAATTATAGTTATAAGGATTAAATGAGTGATTTTATATAAAGTACTTAGCTGTAATATGTTGCATAATAAGCCCTTATGCCTCATAAATACTATTATTAGCTATTATCATATTACCCTCTTTTCATTCATTCATTTAACATATACTTACTGAGTGCCTGCCGTGTGCCAGGCACAGTTCTAAGATGCAGAAACATCAGTGAACAAAACAGATGAAGCTATAGCCCTTGAGAAATTTATACTCTAGAGAAAGTGACTGCAAATTAATATATGATTAGGCAATGATGTTAGTTAGGCAAGTCCTACAAAGAAAAATAAACAAAATAAGGAGATAGCAAATAATAGAGGATTTTATTTAAGATTGAGTGTTCATTTTAGCTGAGACCATGCAAATATCTGGGAGAAGAATATTCTTGGCTAAGGGTACAGCATACACATACCCCCCCAGGCCCCCCCCCACACCCCACACCCCACACACATAGCCCTGAGGCAGTAACATTCCCAATGAATGTGAAGAAAAACAAGAGAACCACTGTGGATGTAGTTTTAGTGAAGAAAGGAAAGAGTGGTATAAGATGAGATCAGAGAGGGCGGTGTTGTAGAGCTTTGTAGGCAAGCCATGGTGAAGACTTTCGATTTTAGCATAAGTGTCATGGAGAAGGCAAATTTTGATAAGAGGAATGATGTGATTTATGTTTTTAAAAATAACTGGCTGATTTTATAGAGAAAGGACCTAGGGGTCAAATTAGAAACTGGGAGCTAGTTAAGAGTTTATTGAAGTAATACCAATGAGAGCTGATGGTGAGCTAGACTAGGTAATGGTGGTGGGGAGAAGTAGGTCAGTTTGGGATGAATTTTGGGATATATTTGAAACGAGAACTGGTAGGATTTGCTGATGTATTGGATATGAGCAGTCATGCACATGGTAGTACCATTTAATGAAATAGAAAACACTCTGGGAAAAGCAGCTCTACATGTGTGGGGAGCATAAGAGTTTTGTTGTAAACATGTTATTTTGGAAATACTGATGGTAGGAAAGTTCCACCAAAGTGGAGGTTTTGAGGAGACATGTGCACGAATGGAGTTCAGGGCTAGAGATAAAAATTTGAGAATTTTCTGTGTGGAAATAATATTTCAAGTCACTGCACTTGATGAGGGAGTTAGGATAGAGAAGAGGAAAGATCTGAGGATAGCTCTGGGATGCTCCAACAGTTGGAGGTCAAGAAGAGGAAGACTGTCCAACAAAGAAAACTTAGAAGGAGCAGTAAGTTAGGAAGGCAGTGTGATGTCTGTAAGCCTAGTGAAGAAACAGTCTCAGGGAGGAGGGAATGATCTATAGGGCTAAGGCTGAAGGAGACATGAGAACTGAGAGTTGGCCATCAGTGTTGGTTACCTTGACAAGGGCAGTTTGTAGAGTGGTAAGGGCAAAGGCCAAACTAAAATGAGTTCAAGAGAGAATGAGAGTTAAGGAAGTAGAGACAAAGAGGATATACCATCTTTCAACAAGTTTTGTTACAATAGGGTAGTAGCCCAAAGGGGGCATACAAACAATGATTCTTTTGAGATTATTTAAATAGAAAGGGTTTAAGTGACTTAAGTAAAAAAGGAAAATTGATAATTCAGAAAAGAGGAGAAATAAATGAAATAATTTCATAAATAAATAAATGAAAAGAGGAAAAACAAATGGAGAGAAGGAATGGGATCCAGTGTACATTTGAAGAACTTAGCCCTAGATAGTAACATGAGTGTTCATAATATTATAGTAGGAGGGAAGACAGAGTATAGGGGCACAGTTGCAGATTGGTTGGTAAATTTGGCTATGGGAGTTTGTGGAAGTTCTTCTGAATAATGTTTTCCTCGGTGAAATAAGCATGGTTATGAACTGAGAGCTGGGAGTAGGGGATAAGGGGTGTTGGAGATTTGAAGAGAGTGTAAAATAACTTACAGGAAGGTGAGTGTGTGGATTAACTAGTGTAAAGTTGCTTAATTACCTGATAATACTAGAGCACACTTGAGGTGTAATGTCATAAATTTAAAGTGAGAGTAGTCAGCATGGTTTATAATTATGGTCATATTAATATGCTCCAGATATAAGCACATAATAGGAAGAGAGTTGGATTTAGGGTTGGAATTTTGCTATGCAGGTATGAAAGAAGAGAGGGACAAGGGAGTTGGTACATGCAACAGAGTAATTATAGTGACAGGCCATAAAATCTAAGATGAATAAGGAGAGAAGTGGAGCCTAATTCTATGTGTTCTCCAGCCAAACCAAACCTATGTTGCCAGTACCCACATTCCACTTTCTCATCTCTAGGATGTATCTTCTGTAATAACCTTCTTTCTCTTTCCTGACCTCTTACCCCACTCCTGGCCTGAGCAAACACACATTTGTCCAAAATCCATGTGTTTAAATTCTATCTATCCTTCAAGGAATAGCAGACATGGTGCTTTTTTTCTTGAAGAAGACTTCCCTCCTCACCATCAATGAACAGTGATCTTGTCTTTCCTTTTGAGCTCCTACAGTACTCTAAATCTCTAATTGGCTAATTGCTTGGTATTATAATTTTATGTGTCTATTTTACCTTCCCTACTACACTTGTGTGGTATTATGGACGGGGATTACGTCCTTGATGCCTTAGCATTTAGCACAAGTGACGTGCAGCAACGGTTTGACAAGTCAGTGAAAATCTCAAGTAGAACAATTTCTTAAGTGTTTCCTAAGCAATTGTGGAAACCAGTATTTCATACAGATTACTTTTAGTTTCATTGATATAATCGTTTATACTCTGTTGTCTGTAGCAATCCTATATTATTTTTTAATTATCATCATTAGTATTTTTCATTTATTTATCTTCCAGGAGCATCTTTCCTTGAAGAAGTATATTGTTGACATTGTAGTTGAAAGTGCAGCTCCACCAGAGCCTTTGAAAGATGAAGAGCGGCAAAAAAATAAAAAAAAAGCCAAAAAGATAAAAGCCCGGATGAACTCCAGGTACCATAAATATCCTTAAAAACAAAACAAAAGAAAAAGTCAGTGATGTATCCTTTAGTGTAAATCCAAGGAAGACAGAAAAATGTTTAAAGTTGTTTGCTTCAAGAAAGGCTTGGAAATAGCACTGATGAGCCTAATTTATAGCCACTTTCTTTGATTGAGAAAGAAAACTGCATATCGATCTAAAGCCCTTGCTTTTACCTGTTAAGAGCTCTTCTTATAATTGGATGCCAAAGCCCTGCCAAACTTGTGCCTCCTCTAGCATACAATAGTATGTTTAAGTATGTGTAAACCAAGCCTATTTTTCTTTCCAACTATTGATTTTTAAATGAAGTATCAAAGAAAATCAATAGCAATCAACAAATAGAAGTCTTCTGGCTGTAGTGTCAAATCCCCTGACTAGGTTTAATCAATTTGGTTGCCTGTCACAACAAGGAAAAGTTCAAGAAATATCTTAAAATGGAAAGAGAGTTGTCAGACCTGCAGTTTATCACCAGCCTCCGAGGTGTCATCTGAAGATCAGACAGCTTTGTAGTACATCATTACCTCACAAGCTTTGAACATCATCTGATGACTGATGAGTCTTACTTGAGGACACAAATATAGTTCTTCCTTAGTAGATGATCCTTTGCTATTTGAGCAGGTATTCTGAATATGTCCTTATACTTTTATTCCTAACTGTCTCAAAGATGTGGATACTTGACCCATGGGATTATAGAAATACGTAGATGATCCTTTGCTATTTGAGCAGGTATTCTGAATATGTCCTTATACTTTTATTCCTAAATGTCTCAAAGATGTGGATACTTGACCCATGGGATTATAGAAATATAGGACTAGAATAATGGTGAATTGTGCGGTTATCTCTCTGTAGTTTCCATGTTCAGATTGCAATCAATCAGGGAGTCCATTTCATCTTATAGAATCAGTGATAACTTCATAGTGCTCATTTAAGTAAAGAATAGAAAAGCCTTTTTTTTAAATTTTAGGTTTTGAAGTCACTCCAAGTTTCTGAAATAGTTTCACAGTATACTTCAAGGTATTACTGACCTTCGTTTCTAGTTTATGCTAAGAACTTGCTGACTTCCTGACACTTGCATGCTTTTTAGAGCCTGTTCTTTGGACGTATTTTCCTCTTTATGTACACATTCCCTTGGTGAGTTCACCCAGTCCTGTAGCTTTGAATACCCGCTACTTGCAAATGACTACCAATTTTATATCTTCAATTTTTCTCAACCTTATTATGTCCAAACCAAACCTACCCACTCCCCCCAATCCTACCTCATTCCATAATCTTGTCTGTATCAATAAAGGGATATTTTAGTTGCTTAGGCCAAAATTTCTTGAGTCATCCTTGACCTCTCTCTTTCTCCCATATCTTCACATCCAGTCTAACTGCAAATAATGTTAGCTTTGCTTTAAAATGCATTCAAAATTTGACTGCCTCTCTTTAGCTTCACCGCTTCCCCCCTGGTTCAAGCTTTCATTATCTCTCACCTGGATTGTTGTAGTAGCCCTCTGACAAGTCTTGTTTCTGCCCTTGTCTATTCTAAACATTCCATCCGGAGTGATCCTGTTAAAATGTAAGTCAGAGAATGTCATTTCTCTTCTCAAAGGCTTTGGGCTTTTATGGTCCAAGTTTCCTCTTCTAGAAGGCTCTTTTCACATATATCCATATAGCTGGCTTCCTCATTTCCTTCAGGTCTTTGCTCAAATGATACCTTTTCAATGAGGCCTTCCTTGAGGGACTGCTTTGTTTTTATATATAAATAATGCTTTTTTATTAAAGAAAATCTTTAAAATACAAATAGTTATAAGAAAAAATACCTATAATTCTTCCGCTACGAGTATTTTGGCATATATATTCATTCTATGCATATATAACTATATCTTTTGACTTTTTTTCATTTAGATATGGTTTAAGTAAGTTGTGGAGATCTTAACTTTGTTGAGTTTTGACAAATCTAGATACCCACGTAATCCACACCCCTATCAAGATTTAGAACATTTCCATTGCCTGACAGAATTTTTTGTGCCTTTTTGCAGTCAGTCTCCTACCATCCTTGGCCCTTGGCAACCTCTGATCTGCTTTCTGTTATTATAGATTACTTCTTCCTGTTCTAGAAATGCATACACATGAAATCATGCTCCTTTGTGGCAGGCTTTTGCTGAGTGTACTGTTTTTGAGATTTATCTGTGTTGCCGTAAGTAGTTTGTTCCGTTTTTATTATTGAACATATTCATTGCATGCATATACCACAATTTTTTGTCCATTTGTCTGTTGATACACATTTGGGTTTCTACTTTGGGGCATTTATAAATAAAGCTCCTATTGAGTCGTGGGGTGAACGCGTTTTCATTTCTCTTTTGTAAATACCTAGAAGCATAATTTCCAAACTTTTTCATAGTGGATGTGCCACTTTATACTCACATTAGCAATCTGTTGAAGTTCCAGTTGCTCCCCAATCTGGTCAGTATGTGGGTATTGTTAGTTTTCAAAATTTTAGCCTAGTTCTAATGGGGATGTATTGGTATCTTATTATGGCTCTAATTTGCATTCCCCTGGTGACTGATGATCATATATTGAGCATCTTTTCATGTGCTTTTTTTTTTTTTTGTCTTTTTGTCTTTTTGTCTTTTTTTTTCCGTGTCCGGCAACGGATCGCAACCCTCAGTGTTGCCCCCGTACCGGACCAGGGACCGGCAACGGGATTGCAAACCTCGGCATTGCTCCCGTGCCTCGCTCAGCCAGTGAGCGGGAACCGGTCTGTATGTGGGATCCGAACCCTCGGCGGGAGCGCCGCAGCGCTTCCCAAGCGGCGCACTATCCAGTGCGCCACCGGGCCGGCCCCTTTTCATGTGCTTTTTAAAAACTATTCACTATCATCCTTTATGAAATACCTGTTGAAGGTTTTTTGCCCATTTTAAAAATTGGATTGTCATTTTATTTTTGAATTGTTTATATATTCTGGCTACAAGTTACTTGTCAGATACAGGTTGAATATCCTGTATCTGAAATGCTTGATTCTCACAATGAATATTAGAGAAAACTCCCCTCCTGCTTCCAGTGGGGTGGGGTGAGGTGGGATAGGTGGGGGATAACTATTTTGAAATACACCACAGAATTCTATTCTTCTGAAAAAGTTCTGCTGTGAAGAGAAATTATTTAACCAGAGCCCAACTTGCTGTTTTGTTTTTTGTTTTATTTTGTTTTTATCAGACCCTAATTGACCTGAAGAAAAATACCCAGTTCTAGCTGGCTTTATCCTTCCACATGCAGGAAGGGAAATACCCAAGTCGGGCTCCTCTAGCTTTTCATGTGGCATAAGGGGAAATACCCAACTCCAGCCTACTCTAGCCATGCTGTCCCATATAAAGAAGGGGAGAGCTAAGGAGCATTTGTAAGTTCACAGTTCAGAGGCACAGGCTCACTAAAAGATTGAGACATAATCACAGGACTATAGATGCTTTTGCTGTGCCTGCACCTTATTACCACATTACTAAAGCCATATTTACAGAAGTTCTATTTACATAATTCATTATGTCTGGTTTCAAGAAAAAATTACAAGGCATACTAAAAGCCAAAAAACATAGTTTGAGGATACAGAGCAAGCATCAGAACCAGACTCTCAGATATGGTAGAAATGTTGGAATTAGCAGTCTAGGAATTTAAACTAACTATAACTAATATGTTCAGGGATCTAATGAATAAAGTAGACATCCTACAGGAAAAGTTAGGCATTATAAGCAGAAATTATAGAAATTATGAAATATAAGCAGATGGAGATTCTAAGAATGAATCAAAAAGAAATGTCAGAGGTGAGATGATTCTGGAAAGGTGATAGAATATGAAAATCCAGGAATCTGTCCTCCCACCTAGACATCACTTGCATTGGCAGAATCTCTGTGATGTAACTATGTTGGAACTCTGGAGTCTGTTGAAGGCTGTAACTTCCAGAGAAAAAGTTACATGAGAAGGTGGATTAATTTCAATTTCAGCTTTTACTACAGTAGCATCTACCCATACCCAATCCTCAGTCTATGGCATACAGCTGTGCATGTGGTCCTAGAGCAGCTTGCACTAGGACCAGGGTTGGCAAAAAGGATCTTGTCCTCCAAATATGGGGCTCTGTGCTCTGATCGCTGATTGCTATTAATGATCACTTGGGTGGAGAGAAAGAGGTGTGCAGCCATTGTTGCACACTGCCCCCCCATTTGTTGAAAGCCCCTCTCATTCTGGCTGAAGTGACTAAGAGTGGGCTTAAGGGTGGGCATCTTTTATTTTCCTCCCTGCACTTTTCTCTTATTTATTTATTTATTTTTTTGATAGCCAGACATCAAAGATTAAGACATTCAAAACCAGTTATATATATAGGGAAAATGAGATAGTGATTGCACACACGAGGAAAAGCTCAGGCTCAGGAAAGACCTGAATAGACCTTAATTTTACATAGTAGGCCAATCCTTGGCACAGAGACAACCCATAACAAGCAAAACAACAACAACAAAAACAAACAAAAATAACAAAAGCAGCAAACCCTGTGCAAGGGGGAAAATCTGGTTTCCTGAGTTACCACATTATCAAATTCAAATGTCCAGTTTTCAACAACCACAAAAAATCAAAAGGCATACTAAGAAACAAGAAACTATGGTACATTAAAAGGAAAAAGTAAATCAACTGTATTAGTTCATTTTCTGTTGCTTATAACAGAACACCTGAAACTGGGTAACTTATAAGAAAACAAAATTTATTTCTTACCGTTTTTGAGGCTGGGAAGTACAAGGTCCAGGTGGTGCATCTAGTGAGGGCTGCCTTCTGGATGGGAACTCTACAATGTCCAATGGTGACAAAGGCATTCACATGGTGAGGATAGCAAGAGCTCTCTTGTGCTCTTCTAAAGTCACCAGTCCACACCCATGATAACTAATTACTGCATGAACGGATTAATCTATTCATGAGAGCATAGTCCTTACAGTCCAATCAGCCCTTAAAGGCCTCA